CCGGCGGGCTCCCTGCGGGCCCGGGCACCCCGGGAAAGCTGCAAAACCGAAAAAAAAAAACCCAACCAACCAAACAAACAAAACGCGGAGCCGGGCCGGTGCGGGGCAAAGCCGGGGAGGAACCACCGCGGCTTAACTTTCCCCCGAGCCGCCCGGGGAAATTCACCGAAATCAAGCCGGGCTGGAGCGCGGCTGCAGGGCAGAGCCCGGCTGGGGTGTGGGACCTCTCCCCCGGAGCCGCAGGAAGGGTCTTCAACCCAGGGACGGACCAAAGGCAAAGCAACCAGATAAATAAATCTCCCGGGCGTGAGCGGAGCTCACCTTCCCCCACCCTCGCCAAATACCTCAAACTCATACCTCTAACTAGGATCCTCCTGCAATAGTCCGGGTCAGCCGAACTAGATTTACTTTTATTACAATCTTCCGTAGCTGCAGAGGCAGAAAAAGTCCCTTGCTGATCCTTCAAAAAAGAAGTAGAAATATTTCCTTCAGACCCTTTGCTTTCCTTGCCCTCTTTATGTCCGCTCTTCGAGACCCGGTTAGCTTCAGTCTCTGAACTGCATCTAACGTCCATTTTGTCTTGTTTCCCAAACATGTAGTGCAATAAAAACAAAAACAAAAAAAAAACCACCAACAAAAAATACAGAAGAGTAGAAGAAGAAGACGAAGTCTATGCTGGATATTGCACGGCTTAGGGTCAGATCGGTGGGGATCTGTAAAGCACCTTGAGTAAGGAAGGTCGGGTTTTATCCCACTGGAAAAGCAGCGGCTTCCTCAGTCCCAGCGTCCTAATGTGACTGTCCAGCTTCCCAGAGCGCCCAGTGATCAGGTACTCAACAGTACAACTCTAAAATGATTTAATGTCTGCCTTATTACAGAGACATGTAGTTGTTAGACACACAGAGGGACGCGCACTCGCTGTTTCAATTGATTACGGGTAATTTTGCAGCCTCCACATTTAGGTTACCTCATGAATACACTAAATTGTTTGGATAATATATCAGATCGTAATGGATGGTTTGTGTGCTTGTCCCCAATCAAGTAGAGTTTAGCCAGTGAATAAACTGAAATGATTGGTCTTGCTTTCAGGAAACACACAATCAAAAGACTGAGACTTCCAGAAAAAAAAAAAAAAAAAAAAAAAGAGAGAGAGAGGAAAAAAAGGGGGGGGAGAGGGGAAAAAAAAAATTTTGACAAGATCCCCCTGAAATTGTGAGCACCATTAGCAGCCATTATTAACTTTCTTCAGTATGCCTTTGACCTCCCGATTATATAGTGGCTTTCTCCAAAGCACGCCAAATAAATCTGAATAAAGCTGCTAGGAAGGGCTGGAAAAATGCAGTTGTAGGGGGGTGGAAAAAAAAAAAAGCCCCCTGAATTCTAAACAAACAAACAGATCCCCAGCACGCACACACACAAAAAGTTCTTCCTTCAAGCAGATCTCTTCAAGGAAGCAGGTTATCTTGGCCAGCAGAAATCCTCCTTAACACATCTCCCCACAGACAGCCATCTTAAACTCCTACCTCTCCTTATTTCAGTCCCGATACTTGCTTTTTGTGCTTCTCCCTCTGTGTGTGTGTGTATGTGTGCGTGCATGTGTGTGTGCTAATTCTGCACCTTCGCAAACACTGAACCTATTCGCAGAGCCTGCTCATTGAAAAAAAAAAAAAGGAAAAAAAAAAAAAAAACACAGCTTTGTGGGCAGGGAAAAAAAAAAAGCCAGCTTTGTGTGCAGTGGATCCAGGAGGGGGGAGAAACGCAGAGGGGGAGAAAGAGGGAGAGAGGGAGGGAGGGAGGGAGGGAGAGAGAGAGATAACCCGTGAAAAATCTCAACTGCATGATCCACTAAAGGAGAAAAAAGTTTTACTCTAGCTATTCCATTGTCTCTGCTACAATATCTTTGAGAACCGCAACAGCCAGTAATCCAATAAGACCATTGATTAGGCTACAATGATTCAATTCAAGCAAATGGCCTTGTGCAAAGAGCATGCTCCAGTCCTTCTTGTCACCTTGCAGGGCAGAAGCCCTCTTCATGCTGCTCTCCTTATTCATTCCTTTATGGGAAATGTAGAGCAAAAGGAGTGAAAGATGGCAATTATCTAATTGGACTATTAACAAACAATTCTCTGAGTGTGGCTGTCTGGCAGTGGTTCTTGGGCGAGGTGAAAGGCCACATGTTGCACTGGCCCCATTCACAAAGAGTTTAGGGGCCTGAGAGAGAGAGAAAGAATTTTCCCTGAGAATTTTTCACACAAACACCGGAGTATCCATCAGGCGTGCTCCTCTCCGCCTCGTCCTCCGCCTGCCTGGGCCGCTGCCTGGGAATTTTACCCACCTGAAGCAGGCTGGGGGAGCCGTGCGTTTTACTGCAGACGAGAGCAGCGGGTACAAGCAGAACGCGGCGCCCTTGCCAGGGCTGCTCAGCCCCACGGGTCTCATCCTGCTCCCTCTGGAGGAATAACAGCCCTCGCCCCATGGGACCCAGTCTTTGTCCCAGGCAGTGTAACGGAGTGAAGGATCCAGTGCTGAGGCCTAATTGTCATAAATAGGAAATTCAGGGGAGACAAGAAAAGAAGGGGGAGGAAGAAGAGAAAGGAAGGGAAAATAAGCGAAAGAAGAAAAGGAAAGGAAAGGCAAAGAAAGGAAAGGCAAAGAAAGAAAAAAAAGAAAGGAAAAAAGAAAGGAAAAAAGAAAGGAAAAAAGAAAGGAGAGAAGGGAAGGGAAGGGAAGGGAAGGGAAGGGAAGGGAAGGGAAGGGAGGGACCAAGCTGAGGGGTAGCAGCAGGGCTGTGGTGCCTGGTTTGGGGTTGCATTCAGACACAGCCCACCATCTCCCCAAGGAGCAGAGTGGTCCTCGAGCAATACCCGATGATGGCCTCCCCATGACACACCACAGCATCCCCCTCTGTATGAAACATCCTGAAGCCATCTCCACAATGGCCAGATGCTGCACCTTAATGGGCTCTTCTCAGTGCTCACAGCCTTTTGTGGGGCATCTTAACCACGGGGGTGTGAGCTCCCCCTTTTAGGACATGACTCATCTCCCCAAAATGCTGCTGCTTAAGACCTGCTTTGCCCTGTTCCCAGGTGGATTCTGTGCCTGTCCCCATGGCTGCCTTCGTCTGGGGGAGTTCTGAGCCAAATTTGCCCCTCCTGAACCCAGCAATGTGACCGGCCATACCATGGGGCCCCATGCTGACGTTGGGGAGGGGGTCATGGTTTTTTCCTTGCAGAGTAGGACACACTGTGGAGCAATGCCCCAGGCTTTCCCAAGCTGCTCTCAAAGGGGTTTCATCCCCAAAGCCTCCCTGATTTCTTCCATGCCTTTCTATGGGTACAAGCCACATCTGCTAACTCTTCATTTCACTTATGTATCACAGAAGAGAAACTGCCCGTTTATGTCACAGTGAAAAATGAATGCTGGAGTGGGACAAAAGGTGAAAAGAAAAGAAAAGAAAAGAAAAGAGAAGAAAAGAAAAGAAAAGAAAAGAAAAGAAAAGAAAAGAAAAGAAAAGAAAAGAAAAGAGAAAAAAAGAGAAGATGGCAGTTCATAGATACATTTCAATGAGTTGTCTTTAGTAGAAATCTTAAATCTTGGTCATTTTTCCACAAATCATAGAATAATTGATTTTTATGACCATTGTCTGAAAAGTCAGATTGAGATTGAGGAGGTGCCCCTGAGATTTTCATCAAGCCCTATCATTTCAACCATATTTACATATACAACTGGACATAGAATATCCTTATTATGGACCAGGTTTTATTTTTCCTTACAGCCAATGCATCTCAGCAATCTCTGGTGGTCTGTTGTTATTAGTTACTACTTGTATGGCAGTCATACCCAGGGGCCCCAAATAAATCACCGCCCCATTGTGCAAGGCTTCATGCAGATATAGAGAGAGGATGGAATGAGTTCATTTCCCCCACGAATTCGCAATGCTGTGCAAAGGCCTGTTGTGTGAAGGGATGCTCATGAAACAGCGCATTTAAGAGAGATTTGGTCCTTTCAGGGGCAGTGCAACAAGTGGATGCTGATTAGTGAGAACATTTTTCATGTAGCTGAAGTATAGGTTTGTGTTTAGCAGGTAAGCTTTGTTGTGTGATATACATAAATGTATACATGTGTATGTATGCATATCAACAGTCCTGGCTGGACACGTTTGTTTAATGCTAAATAAAACAAAGTTCTATTTCAAACATTTTTTATATTACAGATATTTTTTAGACAGAATAGGCATAATGATTCCCATAAAAGGTCTACCATGAAATATAGAGAGCAATTATAATTATGTTTTCATAGGTGTGTGGGAGTATGTATGACATTTCCCCCCGTGTTTTTCGTTATGCTAAGGTCTAGGCATAGGCCATAATAATAAACATGGAGCTATTGAACTCAATTACACTGTTTGAAGCAGAGTATCTGGAGATTAAATATTGTATTCGTGTGATAATCTGGCTTTCTTTTTTTTTTTTTTTTCAACAAGGACCTGATCCAAAGCTCAGTAAAGGCCAGGGGAATTTTTTTCTACATGTGTAATATCTTAACAAATGCATTGCAAATCCCTTTTTGTCCATAGAAGTCGGTGCTATAAAAAGGCTTTCCACTATTAAATTAGTTAAACTTGCTTTTGCACATTATGAACACAGTACTATTGAAGATCTGGAAATTCAAATAATGGGTCTAATCCTGCAGCAAACTTGTAGTGAGCAGACAGTATCCACACACAGCTCAGTTACTTCTATTGAGGTCCGTTTATCTGCAACAAATAGCAAAGTCCAGAACAGCATTGGGAAATTCAAGTTTTTGCCATTTATAAAGTCAACATTTTCATTAGTCTAGCAGTCACTAAACTTTTTCACCTATTCTCATTTTTTCCCCAAGAGATTTAAAATAAAGCATTCTTGAATATGATGTTCTTTCAGAACATAATATGTCTCCTTCTTACTGCCATAACGCCAGGGATCTCCGTAGCTTCAGCACGCTTACATCTACACTCATGTGTCACTGGATAAGCAGATTAGGGGGTATCTCTTTTCCCTTTAAAGAATGCTTAAAAATGACTTAGCACATTACACAGGTACTCCCTAGCTGTACTTTGCTCTGTAGACTATCCCATTGCTTTTCAAATACAGTTTTATTAGTTTGTATTAGTGTTTAGAAGACTGAAAAATTTGTTTCTCATTGACTGCCACTATTTCTACTATTTTTATCTCTATTTGATGGGTAGGAAAGATACCCGTTATTGCTACTACTTCCTAAATTACTCTTTGTCAAAGGAATTTTTCTGTCCTAAATTCTCTTTAAGGCTTGCATGCCAAGCTGGCTATTGCAGTCTGAGCATGGTGCTAAATTGCTGTTGAGCTTCAGTGCCTATGCTTGAAGTTAAAAGGTTCATCAAAAGGATCCTGTGTTTAATTCACTTAGTTTACTATATAACATGGATTCCTAGTAAAATAAGATTCCTTATGAGTACAAGCTTTTGTCCGCTTGGAGAGTCAGCTCTTGCCCTCCTTTGCTAGCTCTGCATTGCAGAGGCATCCTGACAGACTTTGCCTTTGGTGGGTGTTTACAGGTCTCAGCTGAAGAGGAAAGAGG